TTGGTAGATGGTCAGATCTACACTTCTAGTACTGGAACATTCTACTATTGGTAAATGATTAGATCTACACTTTTAGCATTGGAACATATGACTATTGGTAAATAGTCAGATCTACACTTCTAGTATTGGAACATATGACTATTGGTAGATGGTCAGAACCAAGCCTCCATCCACTACTCTTTTAGTACTGGAACATATGACTATTGGTAAATGATTAGATCTACACTTCTAGTATTGTAACATATGACTATTGGTAAATGGTCAGATCTACACTTCTAGTATTGGAACATATGACTATTGGTAAATGGTCAGAACCAAGCCTCCATCCACTACTCTTTTAGTACTGGAGCATTCTGTATTTTGTGTAGTCACGGATGACATTTATATAGCATTTTATAAGTTACTTACAAATGATTGCTATTGTTTCGAATATGATTTTATGAAGTTATTAGATGTCTGTGTTATTTTTATGTGTCGTACTCTTTAACATAGCCTTAGGTGAGATTATAATGTGTTTTATATGTATTCCTATATGGTAGAAAAGGCAATGTGCTATATTTTTTTAATGTTGTAGTGATAGTTCTCTGTGTATTATTACTTTTATTTTAGGAAGACTTAATTCAGACAACAGAAGAAGTTATGAAAGAACCTGAAGAATGGAAATCTAAGGTTTGTTTTATCAGAGAAATACTTCTGTAATAAAAAAAAATCTTATGTAAAGTAATTTCAAAAAGTTAACACTAGAAAATGTTACATCTAAAACAACATTCTAAGTAGAACTTACACCCCAAAATTAAGAACGAAACTGAATGATTATTATTTTCACTTCACTTTAAAATCCTTTCATGTTCATGTGTGATGTTACAGTATATATGTTACAAAGATGAGAAAACGGACACATATAAACTTGTGTTCTTGAGGTTATTAAACCGTAGTGTTCTATTTAATAGTGGATGTTGAATACTTTGTTAGTAATTCACTCTTACTCTTTTTTTTTTTGCAGCATGAAACATTGTTGGCAAATTTCCAGACTATGAAGGAACAGTATGAGCTAAAAATTGCTAGCCTAACGAAGATAGTTCAAGAACTTCAAGAAAATGCAACTGACACTTCAGGGGGAAAGTGCTTTGAAGATGAGGTAATAAAGATTAGTTGTTGTGAATTTTAGAAATAACAAAAACTATACTTCTAAACCCTTGTAGGCAGTGTATTTACTTTTCATTTAAAAAAAAACAACCACAACAGTCAGTAAAAAAATACACAGATGTACAAATATAACCTTCAAAGTTCTCCTTTGAAACATACCTAAAAATACCCTTTCTAAGAACTTCATACACCTACTTCTCTGTTTATAATTGGTATAACAGACACAAAATATTACCTAAGAACCTCTTAACCTTGCTTCACTGTTATAATCAATATAATTGTCACAAGGTGTTACTTTACTAAGAACCTCTTAATCTTGCTTCACTCTTTATGATTGGTATAACTGTCCCAAGATATTACTTTACTAAGAACCTCTTAACTTTGCTTCACTCTTTATGATTGGTATAACTGTCCCAAGATATTACTTTACTAAGAATCTCTTAACCTTGCTTCACTGTGTATAATAATACATAGATTAGTGTATGCTTTGTTCTAATAAATTGCAGTAAAATTGTTTTAAGTCTTTTGCTATGGGCATCTTTTTCTACGTATGTTATGAAGTTTTAGTAACTTACATTCAAACCTTTATTGAACTACTTTTTTATTATGTTATGTGAATAACTTTGGCATAAAACTTAGATAATAATTCAAATTTTTATAGTAAATAAATGTTATTCTCATAATTTTATATGGTAATATTTAACAAAATCTTGAATTATTCCTAGTATGCAAATTGTGACATTTTCCCTCTAAGCATCCCCTCTTCTCTTAATTAATTTGCCACCCCTCTAAGAAGTATGGAATTTAATGTAAATTGCTCTTTATAATTTTGTCATCACTCAGGCAAAGTATAATTTTTATATCTTTCAATCTTATTTAGTTACAGAGTCATCAAATAGAAAACCAGACCCCTTATTCTTCACACAATGGTTACATCCTCTCTTTCAGAAATTACCAATAGTTCTCTCTGGTGTTTAATAGTATATTATGTATAACCAATAGAAAGCCAAGGTTTTAATCTATCAAAAGACATTTTATATTACTATGTTTTCTATACAGAGAATTGTCTGTTTTTACCTGTGATTATTCTGTTCTTTGGAGCATTATTTAATTAAATAAAAACATTATTTAGTGCAGTAGTACCATTAGTATAAAAAAGTAGGATTAGGTGTCATCAACAGTCAACAGCAAAAAAGAAGACGATCCAGATAAGTACTTTATTTCATGTTTTTATTTATTTATTTTATAAAAGAAGCTCAACTGTAAAAATTAGAAACCTTGTAAGTTATATAAGGCTAGATTGAATAAAATAAGAAATACCAAGAAAATGTTTTCACAAGGAATGCTTGCAAGGAACTCAAAAAGTACTTTGTGCATTATGTAATTCAATAGGGTAATGTGAGCTGCACATTCTCCAAGTCATTTACAAATTTTATGGCAATTAGTAACAGTTCAAAAGGCAATGAATCAATAGAATTTAAGTATAAACAGATGTATATTGTTAAAAGTTTAAAGTTACTTAGGATAAACAAATGTAGTTTCATGTTACAATTTGAAAAAAAAAGGTAATTTAGATTTTTCAAATTTTTTGGGGTGGTTATGAGGTTAGTCAAATTTATCACCCTTGTACAGAGTTAGAGTAGAGAAAATAACAGGTAAAATAAAAAGTTTTACTGAAAAAAACGTTTGAAATTTACTTAGGAGGTTTTAGGGATTATGCAAATAAATGAAACTAGAGATTTTTCAGATAAAGAAAAGTATTTTTAATCTTAACATGAAAATCACTTTGCACTCA